GAGAGTGAGAGAGAGAGAGAGGTGGTTTCCCAACCATCTGTGGTGGTCTCATTTTCCACGAGCCAGGGGATACGTGCAAAGTACAGGAAGTACAATCGAGGTCAAGCTTGTTTAAAAAGTGACACCCTGATATTTAGGGGGTTTATCAAAGAAAAGCTTATTATTGCTTTTTTCGATAAATGATTTACGTCCCCATCGACACAATTTAGATGATTATTTCAGAGACGGACTGACCGAGTAGGACAGTTATTTGCAGACAGACGGAGAAACTCAATCAAAATGTCCCACCCGGGAATCGAACTCGCGTCTTCTACATGCAATACAGAAGAGCCTACCTAATAACCTTGAGATACCGGTACCCTGGAGATAGATTAACCCTATCCACACGCCCTGGGGTCATTTTGTATACCTGGGGTTGTATTCTTCGGATTTTAGAATACTGCTAGTACGAGGATCTCTTTGAAACTTTCAGTATTTCTCAAAAAAATCATTTTGACAGACTGCTATGCTAAGCGTAAGGATCGGATTAACGAGCAAATTTCCTCTTTGGAAAGTGGTGGCACACAGTTCCCCTCGTCATATGGATACGACAGTAAAACACGACGTACGGATAGGGTTAAAAACATAGAGTTGTTTTATGTTGGCACATTCGCTCCGTACTCTTTTGTGGACTCCATTGCTCTATCACCTCCCTCCTTTCCATCAGTCTGTGGCCTACACTTCTTATAGTACACTCTTAGGGGCCTAGTCGGTTCCCGTTATAATATCAAACTCTACTCATCTCTTATTCTTCTGTGGTGTCTTTACTTTCTGTCGGTTCTGTGTTTCTCTTCTTCAAACGGTCATAATTGTATTTAGTCCTGTGGTGAATTGTAGTAACGGTTCTAGTGTAATCTTTTTAAAACGAGTTCTTTATTTATGGCGCCAATCTGAACTGCGAGGGTGGCCATTTTCTGTACCCGAGGTTGTTTGAGGAATAGTCGTCACGTCACTCTGAGCGTCTGCAGTTCTGATCTTTGCGACATTGACGTTAACTCATCAAGGGCGAGATTGCTTTCTGGTCATTCTGCAACGCTTGAAGATGTGCTGGTTTGGGGCATTTTAACTCTTTAAACATAACCCTGTTTCCCGTCGGACCAACACTAGTGGCAACTGTTTCATTTTATTTAGGGCTAGTTTTTGCTTGTTTTTCGGAAATTTTACCAAACCAAAGTTTTTAGTAATGACTAAGCCTTTGTTTCCGCCATTTAGAAGTTGGAGCCAAGTTTTTAGGGTTATAATGAAAAATAGGGCAACCGGTTTAGGTGACTGTAGACAAAACTCCGGGAAAAGGTGGGGAAAACTCAGGACTTAAAGAGTTTAAAAAGAAGCTTAGCATTGTTATTAATACAGAATGTTCAATTCTGTTTAAAAATAGCAAGGAACAACATGCATCCACAAAAAATATGCAAATTTGTGTTTTTACTTTGTGTATGATGGTTCAAAATGTACCACAGCGTTACTTTTGGCCGGCTACTGATCGGACGTATGTGCCCGCTACGTGTTCAAAGAGTTAAACGAGGGATTATGTGTGTTAATAGTTTTTGTAAGAGTTTTGGACACTTACAACTCAAATAGATCCTATAAATGCCGAAGAATAGAGGTTTTATAAAGGAGAAACGTAAAGGAAAGAAGGAGGGATAACGACGATGGATGTTTGATAGGAAAAAAGAGCACCTGTCACCTACCCACATACTGTATTGAAACTCGAAGATCCCGCCTGTTCAATAACCTAATAGTGTTGATAGAGGCGTTAAACAAGCAAGAACAGATAGGGGTAGAAATTCATTCGTACCAACTGTAGTGAGGTTACTGAACACACAGTGCAGGAAATGAAACTTTTGGTGTAAGTCAAGATTTCTGGAAACCCCCGAAATCTGGGTAAGCCCGCTTGTCCTTTAACAGACTAGCGACCAATTTTTCCCTGCCATATGAATAAAGATTGTCATGTCAATGTCATTGTCATTGTAAGACCTATACCATTTTGCCATTTCCAGGTCCCTGACAGGAGAGGGAAACTTCAACTGGCGGTTCGTGTTCCCCTTTGACTACCTGGTGGCAGAGGAGAAGATCGTCATCTCCCGGAAAGAGACGCTGTTTTCCTGGGACGAGACAGAGTCCAAGATCCCGGCGCGCCTCAACCTGCAGGTCTGGGACGCTGACCACTTCTCTGCCGACGACTTCCTGGGTCAGTTGGAACATTATATTTATTTATTTATTT